AAAGAGAAAAGAAAAACGATTGCAAATTATAATGGTAAACCTGTATGTGTACCATGGTTAAGGTCTATAAAACGGCGAAAAATGGAAAATTTACAAGCTATTTTAGCTGGTGCTTTTTATCCACGTATTAGGGAAGTTTGGATGCGTCCTCGATCTTCTGCTTGGTTTGAAATGGTAGAAACTTACTTCACGGATGACCAATGGTATGATAACTTTAGAGTGACTAAAGGTACCTTTGCATTCATTTTAAGTAAGATCAACTTAGACATATGGTATTAGGGAAGTTTGGATGCGTCCTCGATCTTCTGCTTGGTTTGAAATGGTAGAAACTTACTTCACGGATGACCAATGGTATGATAACTTTAGAGTGACTAAAGGTACCTTTGCATTCATTTTAAGTAAGATCAACTTAGACATATGGTATTAGGGAAGTTTGGATGCGTCCTCGATCTTCTGCTTGGTTTGAAATGGTAGAAACTTACTTCACGGATGACCAATGGTATGATAACTTTAGAGTGACTAAAGGTACCTTTGCATTCATTTTAAGTAAGATCAACTTAGACATATGGTATTAGGGAAGTTTGGATGCGTCCTCGATCTTCTGCTTGGTTTGAAATGGTAGAAACTTACTTCACGGATGACCAATGGTATGATAACTTTAGAGTGACTAAAGGTACCTTTGCATTCATTTTAAGTAAGATCAACTTAGACATATGGTATTAGGGAAGTTTGGATGCGTCCTCGATCTTCTGCTTGGTTTGAAATGGTAGAAACTTACTTCACGGATGACCAATGGTATGATAACTTTAGAGTGACTAAAGGTACCTTTGCATTCATTTTAAGTAAGATCAACTTAGACATATCACATAAGGACACGGTCATGCGAAATGCTGTACCTGCGAAGCGTCGCCTAGCCATCATGTTATACTTCCTTTCATCAACAGCAGAGTACAAAACAATTGCTAACTTGTTTGGAGTTTCTGCTGCTTTTGTATGTATTTGTGTAAAGGAGGTGTGTCATGCTGTCCGGAAACGTTTGCCAACTGTAGTCAGCTTTCCAGAAGGAGAAAATCTACTCGAAATTATCAGGCGCTATGAAGAGAAATGGGGATTTCCTATGTGTGCTGGTGCTATAGACGGTACCCACATCCCTGTATTGGCACCTTCACAAAGCCACATAGATTATGTCAACCGCAAAGGCCAACATAGCATTGTCATGCAAGCTATTGTTGATTGTTATTATTTATTCAGAGATATAGTCGTAGGATGGCCAGGTAGTGTGCATGATGCACGTGTTTTGTCTAATTCAAGCATATTTGAGAAGGCAAATTCTAACAAATTGTTTCAAGATATACCGAGCAAATTAATAGGTGACCAAAACATCCATCCCCTTATTATTGGAGATCCAGCATACCCACTACTGTCATGGCTAATGAAGCCCTATCCTGAAAATGCAAACACTCCCAGGATTGAGAGAGTATTTAACTACAGATTAAGTCGTCCACGAATGACTGCAGAAAACACTTTTGGTCGATGGAAAGGGAGATTTATTAGGTTCACAAAGAGAGTGGACATTGAAGTGTCATGTCTGGGTAGTATTGTTGCAGCATCTTGTATCTTGCACAACATATGTGAGGTACAGAACAATGCATTTCTTCCTCACTGGGAATTAGAACATGTCCATGATGAACCAGTCATGTCTGTTAATGATCATAATGCAAATGATGCTGTTGACATTCAAGATTGTTTGGCACAGTACTTTATCTTACACCCATACTAGTTGGTTGTTTGTCACTTAATTTAAGGGAATAAGTAAGTGGGATAACTTCCAATAACCATGTCCGTGATATTTCTTTACTTGACCTTTAATGAGAATGAATGCAAAAGTACTTTAACCCATTAAGCTGCAGAGCTTTCCCATTGACGAGCAAAATCGTCTGTCGTTAGACAAGAAAAGAAACGACAAGTGGGGCGCATTATGGCTCAATGAGTTAACTAGAGACATTGTCAGATTTTATGGTTAACCCATTAAGCTGCAGAGCTTCCCCATTAACAAGTAAAATCGTCTGGCGTTAGACAAGTAAAAAAATAACTGGGGCGCATTGCGGCTCAATGGGTTAAGTCACTCTAAAGTTCGCTTACCATTGGTCATATTAGATATATGTATACTGAAAAACTCAAATTTTATTATAGACAAGTTCAAATGAACAGCTGTACTATATCCGTACAGTATATACCAAATATTACTGTAGTTGATTACCCATAATTATGACATAACAAGTCAAATAACAATTATAAACTACTATAATGACAAGTGTTGAATAAAGACTTGCATTAAAACTGCCTTAATGTTGTAATGTATTTTGAAAGAACATCTACAGTGGATAATAAACTTGTTTGTTATCTTCAATGTCACTGCAATGTGAGCTTGTACGGGCATCATCACAATTAGGAACCGCTGAGGGTATTAAGTATTGTGAATGAATGTTTGGCAATGTGAATGAAGACAAAGGTTGGGGTCCCATCAACATTCTGTCCATATTCATTTCATGTTCTCTCTCTTTCAGTCTTTCATTTTCCAAAGCCATCCTTTGCATATGAAACTGCTGCTCTGTTTGGACTCGTTCTTGTTCTAGCTTTTGGTACCTGAGAAATGAAACAACAATCAAGCTTGTTAAATCCGTACAGATAAAATCATATGTATCGATATGTATAGATTATTGTAATACAATATTAAATAGTAAGCGAGCGTTCACAACAAGGAAACACAAAAAAATTATGGAAACATTTGGAAACACGGGAAATTCCTCAGTGGGAAATTCCCTGTCTCGAACACTGAGCTCAGTGAGCTGCCTTTATATCAATACGTGACCAAAACAATTCTACAGTATAAACACTCGCTGTAATCGAAAAAGTGTGGTAATTGTAGGTTTAGAAAGAGGAACAAGAAGACAAAAATGGAATTCTCAGTTTAATTAACAAGAAGAGAACTTGATAATTTATGGGCAAATTGATGAGAGAAAATGCCGGATGAAGCCGATCAAGCGGATTTTATGCTGAGGTAATAATGAAAATTTGTAAATTAATCGATATAAAAAATGATAAAAGTTTTCTGCAGTTATATTATAAAAGATATAAAAACAAATTTTTCCTGTGTTTCTATACAGTTATAGAAACACTTGTAGCAAATGCAGTCATCAAAGGCAACCTAAGATTAAAAGTAAACCATTTAATTGTACCGTGAAAAATCTTCATCAGCGCAATCCTTAAACTGTTTGAATACAGTTTCTAATGATTTCTCCATGTTAGTTTTTCTTCTTTTTTTTGGTATTGGCTTTGGCACACTAGAGGGCTGCTTTAAAGACCCTTCTTTCTCATATGTTTCCTCCTTTTCATCTATCTTGTCATCATTGGCAGGAACAGTACCTTCAAAGAAAATTTTACTGTTTGGCCATGAATTACTTTAGCAGCTTTGTTATTAATTTAACCCATTGAGTGGCAGCACTGTTTCACCCCTTGACCTGGGTAAAATCATCTGGTGTTATACAGAATAAAATAATAAATTATCAAGGCTCTTTGCCACTTAAACGGTCGATTACCCCATTGAGTGGCAGTCTCTCCTCTTGACGAGTACAATCAGCTGGTGTTAAACAGGGTAAATTAGTAAAGTAGGGCACATAAGGGCACTTTGCCACTTAATGGTTAATGGCCCAAGGTAACGTAAACCTGCAAAT